GTTAAATTATTTAATGAGGTAATTATAACTTGGGTCTTCAAAACTTGTTTAACCTGCTGGCAATCAAAGCTATCAATTAAGTGTGAAAACCAATCAATCGTTTTAGTGAAACCATAGATCATTAAGTTAAAATTAGAGAAATGTTTATTTGTACGCTTATAAACAAATTAACATTTTATTTTTTAGTTATTTACCATTTAAGATGCATTTCTCCGAGTAACCGAATAGCAATTTTACTAACCGATACTTGCATCGTTCGACGGTTAACCGGTTAACCGGGTACTCGTTGCCAACACTAGTTAAAATGCATAATTATGATGTTGAATGTTCCTAAATACTTCCTACTTCTAAGATACTTTTGATTTGTAAATATCAGGGGAACCATTTTTCATCAGATGTACAATAAAGCAAATGGCTGAATAAAGAGACCATATATAGAAGGAATTTTTGCCCTTGTCAACATTTTTTTAAGATTGAATACTGTAAACCAACTTTTATTCGCGTGTGAGAAATTTTCGCGAAGTTCGCGAGAGCCTCGTCATCGCGAATATTTATCGCCGCGAAACGGTCCTTAAAGTGTATGTCTCTATTAATAATACAGTCCCTGAAACCTTCTACTTTCCCACCTGAAAGGTGAACGAACGGTGAACGAACGGTGAACTAACGCAGAGCGAATGGTGAGTGAACGACGTGCGAACGGTGAACGCAACTTGCTGAACGATGTGTGAACGGTGAACGGTGAGTGAACGCAGAACGCGAACGGAGCGCGAACGCGAGCGCAAAGTGAACGGTGAACGAACGGTGAACGCAAGATGAACGATTTATTCGGAATGCCTTCGGTCTTTTCCTTGTATTGAAATTATTCTTTTATTCTATAATTCAAATGTCAAAAATAAATATAAATAAACAATAGATAAACAAAAGAGAAATAAATAGATAAATAAATAAATAAATAATAATAATAAAAAATTCTACACATACGTATGTTTAAATCGATATTTTAATAACATGATTTTAATCGCCGTCAAACGTGTATTTGTTACCGCGTATAGTTAAAAAATAAATTAATCTTATAAAGTAAATAATTATGCTTATTCTTCTGACTAATAAAATAATGTGGACTTTAGAAGATAAAACTACTTCTGAAATAAATAAATTAAATAATTAATTAATTAATAAATAAATAAAAACATTTTTTCTGCACATACCTATGTTTAAATCGACATTTTAATAACATGATTTTAATCGCCGTCAAACGTGTATTTGTTACCGCGTGTACTTAAAAATAAATTAATCTACTTATATAGTAAATAATTATTGTTATTCTTTTCACTAATAAAATAATGTGGACTTCTGAAGATAAAACTACTACTGATAGAATGAATTAATTACATTGTACAGGGTTGAAACAGCCGTACATGTATTTCCGTGCCAAAGCGATTCTGAGTAAAATAACGGATTTTTTTTTTCAAATTCACAATTATCTGTTGACATTGACTGTTATCATACTGCATATATATTCTTGTTTTATTTAAATTCTAATGCAAAATATTCTATATTTATGTGCCTTTTTATTCTTTTATGATGAATATCTTAGCTAACTTCTTCATGTATCTGTAGACATTTCCCGGCCGTGATTATACTCGGTCAAGATGTTGGAAAGAGGCATTCAAATTATTTGTAATGCATGTGTAGATTAAATTTTCAAAACTAAATAAGTAATGTGTTGTCAAAGAATTTATTGAACAGAGAAATGTACGAGAGAGAGAGAAAGTAAGAGAGAGAGAGATAACCCCCTCGATTCTCAGATATACGCAGGGGTAATAAGGAAGCATACAAAAAATTCTACCTTGGCTAAATCAGTACTGCATTATGACGTCATAGTTGGCAAGATGACGTCAATTTCAGAAATCGGGTTTTCGTAAGATTGGTATTTAGCGATGTAATTTAACTCTTGAAAATGATTAGGAACATGTAAAGATTAACAAAAATAAAATGTCTTTATTTTGTTATGTTGTAACAGTCATTATGATTGAAATCTACTACCGATGACGTCATATGTGTACATCAAGTACCTTGGAAATTGATTATGTCGTGTAAAGAGAATTTGGCTAAGACGGCATATTCAAAGATACGTTAAATGGAGTTTAAAATGAAATATCGGAAATATCGTGTTAAATTCATATGGAGTTCAATTAATGAAACAGGTATGTTAATTTATTTTCATCATTAATAATCTCTTTCGAAGACAGTTAGCTATATTACGTATCTCGGTGGGCCTATCGTCCGTCATTCTTGTCCAAAAAATGCAATAGAACAACAAAAAGCTGAATATTTCAAAACATACGATTTTTACAGATTGAAAGTTTGCGTTTTGACAAACTTGGAAAGTGCTGCTAGAATCCCGAGTTAAGCATGGTTGTACGAAAAATATCCATTCATATGTATAAAATTCAAAACAAAGGGTAAGGTTTTGTGCGAATGTGTGGAATAAATATTTTACGGACAAGATAGTGGGATTCTAGCAGCACTTTTTAGACAAAATAGATGTTTTTCAGCTTTATTACATACTCTAAGAAATTATCAAACTACGGGGTTATGTTTGTTCTGTAAGCCTTTTTATTAAGGAAAATTTTGCTATTAATAGAAGTCAGGTGATGCCGTGGCGGTGATGCTTGTCTTTGCGTTAGACACGCTTTTATCTGTATTCAATAGTAAATAACAGTTTAGGTTTATCAGTGGTTTTGGTAATTTATTAAACTAAATTTTCTTCAAAAAGTCTAAATTTCCCGAGAAATTACTTATATGCTTCCTTAACATACCCGCGTATGTTGTATCAAATAAAAATTAATTATTTTCCTAAATATTCCAAGCAATAAAGGTAATCTTTCTTTTTAGATTAACAAATCCATTTGACAGTAATCATTGACTTTTATTTTCCATCATCATGCTCACACAGTTCACAGGAAGTCCGTGCTACATTTGTAGTAGCGTGCTTGTGCTGTCAATCAAAATAATTCGACACAATGGAGTTGTGGAAATCGCGTTTCACCGAACATGCCGAAGGCAAAGAGTCACTTAGTTTTCCAAGATATTTTAATATTTTCCCCTATCAATTCTAGATCTGATTTTTGCATTCCCACAGAAAAAAAATAATTCCAATATATACTTGGAAGGATTAAGCTTTAAACTGAATGTGAAACATATTCCCTGCCAATTTAAAATACTACTGTCGGCACAAGTTTATACTAAAATACTATTGTTTAATGACTGTTTGATGTTGGTTTTAAGACTGATTTTCTTGTGTTACAATAAAAATTAAATATCAATTAAAATATACTGAAAAAACTCAATAAGAATTTTATTTCGGGAGAAAAGGCACCGGGGGGGGGGGGATCTTAATTATACTGAATAGCAAAAAACATATTTTTAAACATATGTTTAGGTACGGTGAAGGAAGGAATTATTTTTCTCTTATATTAGACTATTTTAAACATTTGGTCTTTTCTAAAATTTAAAACCACACCATCAATTTAATTAACTCTAAAGATATTTAATTAACTGAATATTTGCAGTACTGTTCATAATTCTCAAACCTACACGTAATTTAAATACGTGTTACTGTAGAAATATTTTTTTTATGTATTCTTGTCCTGAAAAGACTTGGATTAATTATTATACATCATTTGTACATTGCCCTTTTTTAAATTTAATATTTTAGCATCGTTCTTCATACATGTGGGTACTTAATGTATTTATTATTTTCCAGGGAAAATTCATGAAATAAGTAACATCTGAGTTATAATAACAGAAATATAAATATCATAGATAATTTTTGCAATGAAATAAATATTCTTCAAACACGATATCTAAGTTATTTAATTAAAAAACAAGTAAATCCTTACCATCAAAAGGATAAGTTCTTTCATTTCGGAGTTCCGAATGACAATGAAGACTGAACGATAAGTGAACGGTGAACGTAAAATGAAAAACTTGAACGGTGAACGAAGAGCGAAAGGTGAACGTTGTGTGAACAGTGAACGCGAGCGCACGGTGAACGGTGAACGGAAAACTGTGAACGAAGAGCGAACGGTGAACGCACGCTGAACGAACGGTAAAGAACAGTGAGCGAACGGAAAAATGGGAAAGCAGAACGTTTCAGGGACTGTAGATCCAAAAAGGCTTGGTCGCGAAAATTAATCGTCGCGAATTAGTTTATCCCTGGCAAATCGCGAAATAAAGTCGTCGCGAATAATAGTTGGTTTACAGTAATTGATTAAATAAAGAAATTATGCATTTTAAAAATCATTTTACTTAACAATATGTATCATTACACCTTTTGCAAAGCATTCTTCCAAAAGATATTGTTCTTTTAGATATAAATTTAAATTTATTACAGTTTTTGCAAAAACCTTCGACATCAAAGGAAGGTGGAATTACCTTAAACAAGACCTGAAAATTTAAAACCTGACTAACTTGACGGCCATAGACCTAAGACGATTAAAATAACACATGTTTATTTGCTGGTTATTTTAAAACTAAAGTGTTAGAGTCAAATTTAAAGATGACATTTCTACTATTTTTTCTGAAAAAAAAACAAAAAACTTTGATATAGGATAAAGGTAACGAGCCTGAGATGAAGGTTAGAGAGTAAAAAGGTAAACATATTTATGTATGTACATGTATTTCTTCAATGACCGAATTTCAGCGAATTTAGCAAAGTCCCATTTTAGCCTTTCTGGGCTTTGATTTCCATTATTTCACTCTCTGATTTTGAAGAAATATGATCATGAGAAAAATTATTTTACCTTTGCATTGATGTAAGAAATGAAAATGCATATTGGATGAAATAAAAGACAAAGGACCGCATCAGCAACAACCAGCTTCCGTACTGCAACACTGGTTTTTACAGATCTAGACGGCATTATTATGTTTTCTTTTTTTTTTTGCATTTAGAACAACTTACCAAGATATTCCACGAAGTTTATTTTAATATTTCGATGAAAAGAGACTTGGAGTCCCATGAAATATTTGATAAAGTCCGAGAAATGTCATCAAAGGACCATAGTGAGTCTGATGCATTTGTATGCTGCATATTAGCCCATGGCTCAGAGAATGCTGTGTATGGAATAGATCGGAAGGAGATACAAATTCGTGATGTTATCAACCTATTCAAGGGCACTCATTGCAAAAGTTTGGCTGGAAAACCCAAGCTGTTTTTTGTTCAAGCTTGTCAGGGTGATGATGATCATATTAGTAAGTTCATAATTCAGGTAAAGATACCTGTATAGTGATAGTGTACATCTTGACAGTCAGACCAAATTAATATATTCTACGCTCTGTAAAAGCGGAGGCAATTGATGCACTGCAGTGAAGATTTGGCATCTCAATAACCTTTATGGTGTGAATATTTAAACAGTAAAATGCTTTCTTTGTTTGTAATTACTGGAATGAACGGAAGCAGCTGTTGCAGAAAAAATACATAACCCGCGTAAGCGGGTTATGTTACTTTTTTCTGCAATAGCTGCGACCGTTCATTCCAGTAATAACAAACAAAGAAAGACATTTTATTGTTTATATTTATATCTGTTTAAATAATCAATTAAAGTAGGATTAAAAAGATTAAGTATTGTATTAATGATGCGAACGTCTTTATACGTTTCATTGATGGAACAGCCACTGATTAAGAAATCTGTAAAGGCGACATGCCTACTGTAGTTTATGCAGTGATGAACGCAATGGGGTTTCTTAAGAAATAAAGGAAAAAATATTCAGTGGATGTAAATATAGTACTGATGAATTTTTACGAGTGGCACTGACTTTCACTGTTGACAACCTACTTTTACACAAGAACAATGCAGGGAAGATCTTTTACGATATAAATTTTTAGCCAAACATTTAATTTAACCAAATAACGTGTTATTTCAAAGTGTCAATCAGTTGTCCTTAAAGAAAACGACAACCACCCTATCCTCAACTCCCGGCCTCCGATGTAGGTGCCCCAAAAAAAACATTGGGTGCAGTACCTTTGACCACTAGAAAGGTGTTCTTATCTATAATCAACTCCATACCTCCATGGAGGTTTAAATGTCAAGTAAACTGTCAACTGTGAAAGTCAATGCTTCTCGTATAAATCAGATAAAGGACATTTTCGGTTGGGATGAACTTCTACAGAACTATCAATTAGGAATAAAAAGTATGGAGAATATAAAATGCAATTATGGAAGGAATGATAAAACGAACTGCTTACTTTGAAATGGCATATATTGTTACAGCCCCTGAAGTTTTAAAGTTGTCCTAAATTGAAAACGAGGTTTTCTCTGCATCCATGCTCTAAAGTATTTCTTGACCAACTAAATTTGTCACAAATCGGCGTACGCCGAATGGCGCCCGTAAAATGACCAGCGTAATACGGCTAAATGGCAATTGAAAGAAAGCGGGGGGAATTTTTTTTTTAAATAATTGTTAATTAAATAAGATATATCTTAGAGAACAAAGCTAGAGTCATTTGAAGTTCAATTGAAAAAAAAACAACAAAACAATGAAACAGAATACCTAAACTGGATGAGATCTCGCTGGTCTTCCATTCGATTTCTGATAAGATCTTGATATGCAGAGTTATAATATGATAAAAGAAAATATAACGACTTTAATGTATCCAGCCCTTATTACGACCAAATTTTCTAACCTTAAATATAAATCGTGTATAAATTACTCTAATATTTTTTAAAAACATTCTGGAGTATAAATAATTTACCAATAGAAATGTAAAAAAAAAAGCAAAAAAAAAAAAAAAAACAAAACAAAAAAAAAAACAAAAACAAAAACAAAACAAAACAAAAAACCCAAAACAAAAATTTACTGAGCAGTAATTATTCTTTAAAGATTGCTATGAAGTCTATGGAAACAAGTTAATGTACATTTATCATTAGAAGTTGAACAATAATACAATAATTGAATATTATTTTTTCACCAGATAGATTTTTTTTTGCCCTGATCTTAATTGAATAAATTTAAGGGAGATAAAGCTTCATGGACAAGAAAAAGTCATGAATTATGACGTGCCCTGGTTTTATATACCGGTACTAATGTTAAAACAGGAAAATTATGTCTAAATATTTTGAGTACTCAGACCAAACATATTGTAAAGCATTCTATTCCGCCTTGGAAAATATAAGCTCTGGTGGAAATAATATGACCCAAAACACTCTATTTGCCTCGATAAAAACATTTAAAAAAGAAAAAAAGAAAATAAGGAAACCTTTTAAGGGGGATGACTATAGTTTTATTGTGCGAAAACTACAATAGCGAAACTCTTCATTTTTATACCATATATAACTTACATTTACGTCAGTGTACATGCATAGTTTGGGGAAAATCTACCTTCCAGGCTTTTCTGAGTGACCGTGTCAAAATACAGGTACATTTACTATAGGATTATATAGGAAAATGCCGATTTTTAGCACCGTAAAGCAAATTATACAAATTATACAATAAATTTTTTGTTCAAACTACAATATTTTATGAGTAATACTATACGATACAATATATGTAAGAAACAGAAAATTCTACCGTCTTGTAAAGAGAGGAGGCATCTCAAAATGCAAAAAATAGCAAATTTTACTATTTTTATAGAGTACTACAAAAAATGACATTATGAACGGATTCACAAGAGAACATAATAAAAATATTGGAGATATTCTAAAAGTTCTATATTTAGAATTGCAAGAGTGTATGTTTATTACATTTTCTGTAATTACTTTTTTATTACCCCCTTCTTTAAGAGCTCCAGATTACCATAACGTCAAAAAGACACGTCAGCCTACCTATCAATTGGAAAATCGGTTAAATAATCAGTTATATCAAATTGTAATTACATTTTTATACCTTCAATTTCTTAATTTTGTTTAATGTTAATGATTAAGCGAAAAACTTGCATTCAAACAATAAAATACGTTTCATATTACTATGATGCGCGAAATATTGCGCAATGGAAACTATAGTTGGCCCCCTTAAATTATTTTGCTTTTGATAAATTTAAATATTTGAATTACATATTTTACTTCGTTTTCAATACATGATTACAGATACTGTTAAACTTTTTTACGAGCAGATTAAAGTTGATAATTTGGAGATCATAAGGTATGTAAAAATGTGGTTTTGCAAGACATCAGAATGATACCAAGCAGTATGCACTTTTACGTGACATATACGAAAGAAACACGTTTTCCATATAACTGCATACCTCTTGTATATAAAGTTTATCCAAATCACATTACCGGAAGTGAATTTTACAAAGATATTTTACTTACCTCTAGACATTTGCTGTTCAATTAACATGTCTAGAATTCGTTTCATTTTTTTTTCTATAGATATATTTATTGCAATGTGAAATACTTAAATTATGTAGTTTTTTCTCATAAAAACCGGAAGTTCTCGTTTTTGCTTCCGACGAGATTGACATATTTTAAAACTTCTAATGAGATACAATAAGGTGATTCAAAAAAGATAAAAAAGAAAAGTTGAAAGGACTTCCTATGAAAAGAATTATTTTAGCCACTTTAAATGCAACATTTTAGAACGATAATCATAATTTTTATTTGACAATTTTTTTCTAATGGGAAACATACAGGGAAGCTTTAAACATGCAAAATTTTTCTGTTAGTGATAAGCCTTGCATAGATACATCTTTGGTAAAAATATAAAATTTGTTCTAGTTTGCACTTAATATTCTCAGAGAAAAAAGCGTGAAAATAAGCTATTTTATATAACATATACCAAAATGGTGAGAAAATTAAACTTCAAATTGTCAAATTTCCAAATAAATGGCATTTTGATCAAATTGAAAATTACCAATAATTGCACTTGTAAATCCATGCAATTTTAAACTTTATATAAAATAAAATTTGGATTTTCATTTCAAAGGGCCATTTGAGACAAATCATATATTGCTCTTTTCGATTTCTTTGATCACTTCCTGTTACGACCGAAAGTGACGCCTGTAGTATTTATCCCTTTATCTTTTACCTACTTATTAAAATATATTACTCGTATCAGTTTGGTGTCTTATTCTCTTACCCTTTCCGAGATCTCGCAACGATAAACTCTCATTTTGAGCACAACAAATCTCGCGACCAGAAGTAAATACATACACAGAAATCATTTCAAACACATTTCTATAAAATGTATTTTTGTTGATTTTTCCATAGGCAGGGTAGGAAAAAGTGCATTTCAACTATAATTAGTAATATTCTGCAATAATTATAAGTGCCCCACCCCAATAAGAATCTCTGATCCTTGGTCCACAGATTTCAAAATATGGATTCAAAAATTAGGATATATATATGTATATATATATATATATATATATATATATATATATATATATATATATATATTTAGCTTGTTTATACCAAGGTGCAGAGAAGATAATGATCGAAGTAATCATGCGTTTTCATTTTATAAGCAATAAAGCCTTACTCTATACCTGAACCACGAAGCAAGGGCCCGGAAATTTAGAATTTTTGAAGAAACACACTTTCTCATCATAACTTTACATGAAGTTTTTTTTTGTGTAATCCCCAGGAGCAGAGGGGGAGATTTACAAAGAAATACTGCATTTTCACTATATAATCTATATAGCTCCTCCCTATCACTAGAACCCATGAACCTGGGACTACATGTATGTATTTCGGTGAATTTCTCAATGCTTACTACAATCGGGCAAACCGACAGACAGTGCGACGGACGTACAATGACTGACGAAAGCAGATAGTAACGAATCACCTTAGTTTACTCAGATGACCCTAAAAATTAGTGATCAATATAAACAAGCATACTATTTCAACATACATTTTCTTTGAACATGTTTAAAGAACATTTAAAATTTACTACAGTGGTGCGAAGTCAGCGGGACTATGTAGCTGATGGGATTAAATATGTTCCTAACGAAGCTGATATGTTGTTAGCTCTCTCAACAATGCCCGGCTATTACTCATATAGGAATGAGATCCTCGGTAGCTGGTTTATCCAATCGTTTGCCAAACACTTCGCTGAAAACTACAAAAAGTAAGTTATATATCGAATGATTAAATTGATAAGTAAAAAGCACTTGGGTAAAGATGAGATAATTAAGATATTTGTTTTTATTTTTGAGAAGTCATTTTCTTAACTTTGATAAATTATTCTTTACTGGATACATTCAAATATTACTGAAATTCACTTTGCATAACTAGAAAGCAATTCAATTAATCAAATATTCAACATAAATTTCAGCTGCTTCTATTCAAATACAAAATATATGGATTTCAGATATTATGTGAATTATTTTCATGACAAAATCATACATTACTAGCATTTGCAGGATCTGTAAAATAATGTAGAAAAAATATTTGAAATTACCTGACACTACGTTTTCTTCATTTTAATTAAAAATGGATGTGAAAATCTATGTTAAAAATGTGTTTCCCGAAAAAGAGCTTAAACTATCAGCATTGCAGACATAATTTTTTCATGAGAATTTCTTTCTTTCAGTACACACCTTTTGGACATCCTTACTTTGGTATCGTGTGACGTATCAGAACGAGGTCAAATGCCACTTGTAATCAGTACCTTGCGCAAACATCTGTACTTTTGAATTGAAAAATGTGACTGATTTTTAAATGATGTCTTCCAAGAAAGAAAAAAAAAACATTTATTCAAATGTATTTTATTTATACCCATCTTCTACAATTTAAGCTTTCCTGTAAGCACTACTTCCTTGGGACGTGATTAATAAGGAAATATAACTTTTGTTAACAGATTTTAATTTAGCTTAGCATAAATTACAATGCAAAAGGTCTGTCTTTTCTGCAAAAGATGTTATCATATTTATACACATGTATTACGGATGCCAATCAAATACAGAATTGATACTCGGTTCACTGCAAGTTTTTAGGACGTTCAGACGGAAAAACCAGTTAACTGTATCAAAATACTGTAAGTTTCTCTGATGATGTACATACTTTTTTCTTAAGTATTCTTCTCATATACAAGAAGTCCTGTTAAAGTCTAGATAATAAATCTATATACTTTTCTTGACACTTAATATTTAATAATTCTAAATAATTCTAAATAAATAAATAAATATAATAGTCACACTTTTGTGTATATATTAAATTTCAGTTTCAGTATAGACTAAACAAATTAGAGATGTACAAGTCGTGTTTGACAAATCATTAAATTCATAGTCATATCATTAGATATAATATTGCTCTCCGTCTTTTCTCTTTATGTTCCGATTTCCGTAGCAATTTCACGTACAGCACGATGGCGGTTAAGTGTATTAACTCTTATTTTGTCTATGAGAAAAAAAATACTTCCCCCAAAAAGGCGACCACACCTGAAATTAACTATACATGGAAGTTCTATTTTCCTTTAATTTCTTGGACCACCGAAAATTTATTTGCTTATAGCATTTTGTCCATTCTGTATCGATAGTATACATGTATGCCTTTAAATCTAAGTTTACCAACGATTTTCACAAAATTCATAGCTCGACCGAATTTTGACTTCGGTTAACATTGTTATCCAGTAAATCAATTAAATTCCCACACAGAAATGAATAATAATGACCATATTTGTCCTTTCATTTATGCGTTTTTCCTCTCTTCTAATATAAAAACATGTATATGTAATTGAAATGATAATGAATTACAAATGAGTAAATGTCCTCCCCGGTTTTCCAAACATTCATTATGGTGATTTCCAGAGTGACGCTACCAAAAAGATATGAAATATTTTTTTGATTAAAATAAATTCAGTAAGTGTTCATTTTTTTTCATTTCTTATTGCCAATCACTTTATCTAATGCATTAATAAGATATGCAGAAATTGCACGAACTTTTGAATCAACCCTTGTGATTTATGGATCTACTGTAGATTATTTAAAGCTGATTCGGCAATATTTCAGTCATATTTCGGCGGTACTTGTGAGTTATAGAAGAAATTCAATAGGAAAAAATTGATGAAACTAATCAAATTATAATTCTTTTTCACAAATAAATGCAAGTTTGGCATTACAGGTATCATTATCCAAAAGTCCGTCTAAGCAAAAAATGGCACAATGTGTAAAAGGACCGTAGTTTTTTAAAGTTGACAAAAGAGGTATAATTTTTGAAAGGGGGATAGGAGTTTTCATTTTCTATGTCTGGCGCTTTAATCCAAACACCACAGCAATACTGGAGACAATCATCTGAAAATAAAACATAATGACGCTAGAATTAAAAGGTTAAAAAGTAAAATTTTAAATCAGACCTCCGGACTTCTGACCTTATCAGACACATGTATTGTATTTATAATTCGAAAAATGAGAATTAATATTCAATGAAAGTTTTAATCAAATCATTCAATATCACCTAAAGTTATTTAATGTTTTCCAATAATTAGCAGATATTTGCATTTTTATTGGGTTTTAAACAGCTATGATAATTTTTTTCACATCCACAATTTTTATAATAAGGTTTCATTGTCATAATTTTGGTTTTATTTGTAGATTATAAACATGCTTCGAAAGAAGAGAAATATCTGGTACGAAAATACGACGAATTACTCTTTTTTGACAAAAAACCTGTACATATATATTTTCTAAAAATCTCAATTCCCGTAATGCATGTAACGATATTCTATAGGAAGTATTGGGAAATCGAAAAAGTTGGTTGAGTGGTTGTTGAAGTCTGACGTTTTTATTTTCGAAATGTTAATCATGTGGGTAATGAAGTTGTTTTTTGCAACATGAGGAGTTAAACTTTTCTTTCTCCCTTCAATATGCAGCAATAAACATTCATCACCTGCATACTTTATTCAATGACAGGTATATACCTAAAATTGAACACCTTTAGGATATGAGTCTTTAGACATGTCTTTAGGACATTTTTCCCCTGATGTACATGATGTAAGCGCTTAAGACATATACACATGTACAAAGATTTCTAAATCGTGTAAATAAAGTTTCTTACCCTGAGTCGAATTAGAAGGAAAATTTCCCTAATCCACTCTATTTCATCATAAATTTCAACTTGAAAAAGATCAGCTCCATTCTCTTCACACAATTTCTGTTAAAATTAAAAAAAAAAAAGTAGAGAATTTTTTTTATATTCTCATTGTTAGTCAAGGGGAACAAAATAATAGTTCAATAGAATATAAATTGTACATAAATAATATGCAGTTCTTTGACTTAAGGAAGAAGATTCCACATTGGTATGTTTACTTGTTTATTAATCAACGTTCCTCTCGACAATTTTTAGACTCATATGGAGAAACTTCCACCTGCCGCTGGGGACGTGCAAAATGTCATTTACTTAGCATTTTCAAACATTGTCTGAGATACTTTTTTTTTGTTTAAACACCTGATGTGACAAGGGGTCTCGTTTTATACAGTTTCATCCAAAGGGCCTGTGTCAGTGTCCACAGTGGGATTCAAACTTGCGACGAAAGGACCAACTCCTTACTTTGCGACAGTAGAACAAACGCTCTAACATCTGTGCCTTGCGGGCGACAATTCGACATAAATGTATCATTAATTAGTTTTTATCAGATGTAATAAATGTTTAAAAGGGGAAGGAAATAAACGCCTTCATCGAATTAACATAGTCTCCCTGTCAATCATCTGAAATTAAACCTGGGATTGGATATTTTGATTTGATTGACATTTATTTGTAGACGCTTGTGTAGCTTATCTGGAGATCATATCGACAGTCGAATTAACATGATTAACATTTACGCTTTTGTTGCCAACCGCATACTGTAAACCAACTTTTATTTGCTTGCGAAAAATTTTCGCGAAGTTCACGAGAGCCTCGTCATCGTGAATATTTATCGCCGCGAAACGGTCCTTAAAGTGTTTGTCTCCATTAATAATACATGTAGACCTAAAAAGGCTTGGTCGCGAAAATTAATCATCGCGAATTACTTTATCCCTGGCAAATCGCGAAAAAAAGTCGTCGCAAATAATAGTTGGTTTACAGTATGCAAAAGTCATAAAGAAGCAAATAAAGCATTTTTTTTATTCATAAAAATATATCAATAATGTAATTAATATGTCAAAATAATAATCAATTTGTTTAAACACCTGCAACGTACATGTTCCTAAACTACTGATATTTTTTAAAAATATATTTAAAATATATGATTATAGTTCTCTCAGAAGTTCATAGAAATATGCATTTAGCATACCTTACCAGGGTCCTCGAAAAGATAACAAAAGATGAAATATCTGGTATAATTCCAAAGTAAAATGTCATAAACATATATTTTAGATGTTCTTTGTATCCAAATTTGTTTAGAAAGAAATGTAAATTAGCATAAGTAGACATCGACATGTAGCATTAAGTTCTTGAATGTCTTGGAACTCTTGAAATTCAAAGAAAACACAAACTACATCCCGAGGTCTTTTATTGATAAAATAAACCGATTTTTAAAAGCACTATGGATTTATTTTTGTTTTCAAAACAAGTATGAAAACATTGTAAAATTGTTCAGCAGTCAAGTGAAAATTAATTTTATGGAGAGCTGGTGACGAAGATAGTTTTAGAAGAGAATTTAGTGGGATTATAGTATCTTGGATTGTATTTAATTTTTGAAATTATTAATCTCGAAAGGAAATTAAAAAAGAAGAAGATGATACCATTCCCGTTTAACCTTTCCCTGTCGCCAGTGTCGTTTTTTTCTGTGTTCATTGTAGAAAAATGACCCCATAGAATAATGACCCCTTGTCAATTTTTGATGCAAAAACATTTAATTTGGTAGGATTATTCTAGGTAGGCGAATGTATATGGGTATTTTCAAGGTGCCTTACGCTTGGCGTTCAATAAATAATGTCATCAGCTCATTGACATACCACGTAGACACCATATGCAATGAAGCATGAATTTTCTAATTATTAATCTTTTATGAGTTTATGTTTATGTGACCACTTTTCATCACATTGTTCCATTGTGAGAAGTTAGAAAATAAGGGCTTTTTGAGACCCTGCATTTAAAATGAATAGTCTAGAATCAGCAACTTAGAGCAAAATTAAACGGCCATTAAAGCTGTTGTAAAATGTATAATATTTCAAAAGATATATTAACTGAAATATGTGATATTTACAGAAAGCAATGTCTCTTTATACACATATGAACAGATGGATTTCAATGATCAAAAATAATATAATGGGTATCAAAATGGGTATTGGCCTTGGCAAACAAGGGCATACAACAACCAATGTTTTTTTGCGAAAATTCAACAAATTATCACAGAGTATGTATGATTGACTTTAATAAACAAAGCTAATTTGATAGAGATCATTTTGGGAGTAGTTCATGTAGTTCAAATAAGCGAAAACGACACCGTTTAGATGCATCTTAATATCCAAATGTATTAATTAATTTGAAATATAACATGTATATGCATTGATTGCCGCTGTTCGTGACATTTTAAAGTCATAGAAACAAAACGGGTTTAATTCCTTACTCAACTTCAGGAAACCTCATCAAACAATTGTTTATGGGGTAGAAATAGCGAACATTAAAAAACAACGACGTTGTAAAACGCCATGAAACTAAACGGCGCAGGTACTCATACAATGTCGTTTTTATTTTATAATAATTTTGCCAAAACTGAACTTACAAGGCTTAAATGTTCAATATTTCTTTTTTCTAGTTGTTTTATGCTCTTTATGAGAAGGATATGGAGATAACGAACAGTATACAATCTCAAAGTCCATAAAACAAAACAAAATAAGAGCAGAGCAAACACGGACCCCGAAACATCAGAGGTGGGATCAGGTGCCAT